TAAAAATTATTGCATTTTTTTGTTTAAAGTCCCCTGCCCCCGTGAGCATGTGCGTCTTCACATAAACATGTGTCGGGTGCACCTACGTACGAAAACGATCGCGCTACACATGTTGGGTATCGCCGCACACACCAGAGTGAGAGCAATAATTCTATGGCCAATATTTATGCACAACTCAAAATTGATGACCTGTGGGGGCTTTTAAAACGTTGACTATGGACTTTTTGGGGTACTGAATTTTGTCGCCACACCAAATTTTTAACCTGTGCATGTTGGGTATCTATTTACTTGTTGTAACCTCATCTTTTATATTTTCTAAAACAAAATGGTTATTTTATTGTGTTTTGGGGCACTAGATTTAACTTAAGTGCATTTTTCATAAAATGTTTGGATTTGATAATAAGTTGCGCTAATATTGTGCAACATAAAAAATTGCAACTGCCGCCATTGCATTCTACAGTGTCTTGGCTTTCAGAAGATATATAATATTTGGTGCTTTGAAGTGATTTTCCAGCCTAAAATGTGGATTATATCATGGGTGGAAAAAAAAAAAGGCCTCGGTCATTAAGGGGTGTACAAAGTGAAAAGAGAAACGGATTGGTCGCTATGGGCAAATGCTGCAGATTCTGTCTGCTTCAGTGTTGATAAATTCCCCCAATTTTGCTTTCAAAGGCTTATGTAGAAGGGCGTTGTTTTCTGTGCTTGAAAGGTAAAACACACTTCAAACTCAGGTTAGCAAATTGCCATTGCTTTGAATGGAGTAGTGTACATGGCAGGTTGAAGGCTGTGCGTGACCTGCTTTGTTTTGCATTTCTGCAGCCTCAGCAGGTCCTATTCGGGTGGGTTTGGACAGCAGGCAAAACAGATCAAAAGCAGTCTTTTCTTGTCAGTCGCTCATTGAAAACGAAAATGGCTGCATTTGACAAGAATGCCCATACATGAGCCCTTAGCATGTTCTCACATTGTGCTGTTACATTGTATAGATCAGATAAAGCACATTTTGTCAGCTTTGTGCTATACAACTCCGCACATTCTGCTGCTGCTAATTAAAGTGTATCTATAAGAAAAAGTTTTTTTCTAGTTTGTGATGGAGTGCGAAAGGTTAAGAAACCCTGGCATTGTTTAACTGCTATCTGGGGCAGAGATTTGCCCTTATTTCCTGTTCTGATGACACGGTTTTACCAGAAAGTAAGTGAGGGTAGATCTCCAAATGGGGAAGCAATAAAATGCTGACAGGGGTTCTAGCTTACCTCGACTTAAAGGAGAACTATGAGGTGAGTGCTTTTCACTCACCTCATAGTATTAAACAAAAAAATGTGTTTTTACTTCTGTCTGTTTTAACAATGGAGCGTTTAGCTTACTTCCTGTTTGGTGAAAACTGCTTGACCAGAACAGGAAGTAAGGGGGAATCTCAAACAGAGTCCCAGACAGCAGGGAAACCTGATTGGGGTTCTTATCCTTCTCCACTCTATCCAAAACTTGAAACAAAAAATTGGGCTATAGATAGACTTATTAAAGCGGAACTCTGGGAATGATCTTTTAGGAAACCTCAGGCCTCATTTACACAGACACAGAGGCCCATACAGTGTGAATGAGGCATTTGCTTATACAGCTGGGAAGTACCCAAGAGTAACAAGTGTCTGCATGCAGTCACTAATAGGCGTCCATAGGCACACACTGGTGCCTGCACTCAGTTCCACACTGGGATGAGCGTCTTTCAGTCTGCCATTGATTTTTACAGGCTGCCAGTCACTCCTGATCACCTCCCAGCCACATAAATGCCTCATTTACGCTGTACAGTTGTCTGCGTCTGTGTGACGGAGGCCTTACATTGCTGCAGGTTTGCTGAGTGTAAGTATACATAGCTGATCTCCGGAGGGTCGTTGGGATGCTGAAAATCAACCTGAGCCAGGCTGGAACAAAGTATTTTTCTATGAAATAGAAACGGTATGTTTGAAGCTGCTAACACTAAACGTAATAAACTTATTAAAGAAAACTCCAGGGTTAACCCTTGCAGTGTGCCTTCCCCCCATACTGCAAGGGTTAGCTGCTCCTTTTGGTCTAGGGCAGGGGCAGGCAACCTTGGCTCTCCAGCTGTGCTGAAACTACAAATTCCATAAGGCATTGCAAGCCACAGGCATGACTTCCCAAAGGCAGAAGCATTATGGGATTTGTAGTTTCAGCACAGCTGGAGAGCCAAGGTTGCCTACCCCTGGTCTAGGGACTATGATATAGCAGATATACTCACCTGCTCTTCTGTGCTGCCTGGCTGCTAGACCAGTACCTACAACCAAGCTACGGCAGTCTAAGAACCCATGACATCATCATGTTTATGCACGTGCATTAGACATGAGGATGCTGAGGGACATACCACATCCAGAGTGAGGTGGAGAGGGGAGTGCTGACTGCTGCAGGACCGACAATCAGGTAAGTGTATCTTCTCATAGGTGTGAACCAGGCCTTAGAGACACATTCATGTTTATTCAAACAACAGTGCAATGTTCTCTTATTATAACAATCTTTCCGGGCTTGTATAGCTCAAACAGATAACACTAGATACACCATAGTGCAGACCTTAAACTTACATGTTTCCGTGTACAGATTCCTTTCTGCTTCACCTATAAAGGGTGCAGCACAAGGGGGCACAAAGCTGGATTCATTGGAAGGTGGTTGAAGAAGATTTAAGAGCTTGTGGACTCTTTTCCTGCTGCTGTGAAGAGATTGCACATATGGCTCATATTACAACGGACACTTTAAAGAAGAACTCTAGGTTTTTTAAATGAACCCTTGCAGTGGGGCTACCCCAGCACAGCAAGAGTTAAGTGCTCATTTTGGTTTAGTAGCCAAAATAAAGAAGATATACTCACCTGTTCCTCGTTCCTGTAGCAGTGACCGCTCACCTCTCCCTTCACTCCAGCTGTGGTATGTCCCTTGTCTAATGGGCCTGATTTAGACTTAATGATGCCACCGGTCCTTAGACCACTAGCGACCACTAGGAGAAGAGGCTGCGAGGACCAGTCTAGCATCCATATAGAGAAGAGTCACTAGCACACTGACTGTGATAAAACTTGGTCCTTTATTGAGGCAAGTCCAACATATCACAAAGCAAACAATGTTTCGGTCCCTTTATCAGGCAAGCAAAGACAAACAACAAACATTCTTTGACTGATTAAGGGACCCCCTATGGCCCCAAAACATTGCTTTGTGATGTGTTGGACTTGCATCATTAAAGGACTGAGTTATATTACAGCCACTGTGTCGGTGACACTTCTCTATATTGCCTGTGATTGCAGAGCCATCCTCTTGTCACTGCAGCACCCACCACTAATTTTGTGACACATGCAGTTGGTCTAGCAGCCAGGCCAGTGAGTATATCTTTATTTTCATTCCTACACTGAAATGGGCACTTAACACTTGCAGTGCCGGGGTAGTCCCACTGCAAACAGGGCCGGATTAAGAGCATCACGGGCCTGGCGCTGAGAATTTTGATGGGCCTTTTTATAGATATGGCGACGGTCACCAGGGCCCTCTTCCTCCTGTCCGGGCTGTGATTTGTAGTCTCTCTACAGCTTGGAGTCAGTGATGGGGCACCAGGGCCCGGTTGCAGCTGTGACCCTGGTAGATCTGCCACTGACTCCAAGCTGTAGAGGGACTACAAATCTTAGCAATGCAGAATACCACCAACTATGGAGGACTACAAATCCCAGCAAAAAAGTATACAGCAATGCAGAATAATACCACTAACTATAGAGGACTAAACATTTCAGTAATGCATTACAGAGCAGTGCAGAATACCACCAACTATAGAGGACTACAAATACCAGCAATACATTATAAAGCAATGCAGAATGACACCATCTATAGAGGACTACAAATCCCAACAATGCATTGTAAAGCACTGCAGAATAACACCATCAGACAGCTCTAGAGGACTACAAATCCCAGCAGCACATTGTAAAGCACTGCAGAATAATGCCATCAGCTATACAGGACTATAAAAAAATCCCAGCAATACTTTACACAGCAATGCAGAATAATTTGAAGCTACATACTCCGTGTTGTTCTGGGTTCATAGCCTGATGTCTCCAGGCTCTCAGGAGTGCTGTGCGGGGTTTAGGGGGGCTCTGCAGGCTCTCAGGTGGCCAGTGCGGGCTCTTAGGTGGTAGTGCCGGCTCCAGGTGGTCAGTATTGACTCTTAGGTGGTCAGTGCGGACTCCAGGTGGTCAGTTGGACTGGCGGCTGCGGCCGCAGCAGATGCAGCTCTCTGCTCAGGCATATCTAAAGGCCTGGTTTTGGCCGGCTGCGATTTGGGTCGGGCTGGCCACGATTCGGGTTGGGTCAGGTTGGCCCAGCCTATTTGCGGGGACGGGCCCGGCTGCAAAGGGTTCATTTGAAAAATAATCCTGGAGTTCCTCTTTAGTAAGTGGAATGACACCTAACTGTGGAGTGACTTATATAGTGTATAGTAGAAAGTTTCACTTTCTTGGTAACCAGAACCTTGCACTGTTGTTTTCCATACCCATGAATATGTCTCTTACATAGGAGATTACTACACTGTTCTATTGGCACTTTTATTTGTAACTAGTGATCTGATTAGATGATATTTACTTTGTTTCTACATTGTTTTTACACTTTCGGTTGTTTCTATAATAGATCATACCTGGAGTTCCCCTTTATATGAATATCGCTTCTGCTATGGCTACAACAATGTACTAACACTTAATGCCCTGTGTATTGTAGGTCACCAGCACATACAACACAGCACATGTTGCTATTCTATTACGGTATATAAACTTCTCAGTGGAGTTGTGGCTTTTTTAGACGACCTAAAACAAGGAAAACACTCCTGCAGATGCTTGCTAGAATAGCAGCGAGCAGGAACCCAGCAGCCCAACAGAGCCTGTCACCGCAGCCCTGACACTAGCCAATCATCGCTGTCTTTGCACCCTCCAATGGGGTTCGGGCGGAGGCGGGGCGTATGCTGGTCACATGACCTATAGTTCTCTGCCTGACTCGGGAAGCAGCTGGCGGCTCCATGGCTGCAGGTAGTACACTGTAAACGGGCTTGTCATTGTCTCCCTTCCACCCATTCGTGTCTGCTTTATTTTCTATATTGCTTCTCATTAAAAATAATAAGGGGCGAACCCGTGCGGACGTTGTCAGCTATGTCGCAGACATATGCAGTCTACTCCACTGCAGTGTTTATGTTAGGTCTGTGTGAGTTTAGCTGAACCATTGCAGAAGCGCAGCTGCACAGACAGATTTGGATTTGTAATAGATTTGGCCATACATGCTTGTGACTAAATCTGAAACATCTGGATTGTTTGGTGCTTTAGGGGCCCATTCACAGCAACAGCATGCATTAAACTCCCTACAACAGGGGTGGGCAATGCCAGCCCTCCAGATGTTGTGGAACTACAAGTCCCATGAGGCCTTGCAAGACTCACAGTTACAGGCATGACTTCCAGAGGCAGATTTTGGGATTTGAAGTTAAAGCACAGCTGGGGGGCCGGAGTTGCTCACCCTTGTTCTAGGGACTATAATAAAGCTGGTGTGCGTTATGCAGGGGTGGTAAAATAAGTTGTTACAATTCATCACACTTTTTCTTATTTTAACTTTACACATACAGCAGTGACCTGTGTTTTTTACTGCACCGGAACAACACAGGCCAGCAAAAGAACACTCAGAAAACAATTGTGCCCTGTTGACACCACAATGCATTTGTGATAGGCGGTGCGTTACAGCGCAAAATAAAGGCGCATGCTGCATTTTTGCGCAGTGGATGCCACCACTGCTGGTCACTGCACAGCAGCACACCACACTGCTATGTGGGGTCCTGCATGAAGTGTACACATTGTACACTACCAATAAAGCAAAAAATGTAAACAGTGACAGATCCGGCAGTGTGCAATACAATGCACACCCCCGGAGCTGCCACAATGCATTAGCCCGCCTACTAAAATCCTGCTGCTAGTCTGTTAACCCCTTAATGACTGAGGACTTTTTTTAGTTTTTTGCACCCATGTTATAAACCACATTTTAGGCCTGAAAGTTACTTCAAACCCCCAAACGTTATATATATATTTTCTGAAAGCCAAGACCCTGTAGAATAAAATGGTGGCAGCTGCATATTTTTATGTTGCGTGATATTAGCGCAACGTATTATCAAACCTCAAACTTTAGTGAAAAATGCACTTCATTTAAATTTAGTGCCCCAAAACACAATAAAATAAAGAAAGATGAGGTTTTAACAAGTAAATAGATACCCAACATGCCCAGGTTAAAAATTGTGTGCGTCGGAGAAACAGCGGCAAAATTCGGTACCCCAAAAAGTCCATAGACGACGTTTTAAAAGCCTCTACAGGTCATCAGTTTAGAGATGCGCATAAATATTGGGCCCTAGAATTATTGCTCTTACTCTGGCATGCACGGCGATATCCAACATGTGTAGAGCGATCATCGTTTTCGTACGTAGGCGCACCCGATGTGTATTTATGTTATGATGCGCGTGCTCGCGGGGGACTTTTAAAAATGTTTTTATTATTTTTACATTTAATATTTTTTAAAACGGTTATTTTTTTAAAACTTTAATTGCTATCACATAGAGGAGCTTACAAGCTCCCCATGTGATAGCAGATTGGTGGTGACAGGTACTCTTTAAGGTGACTCCTAGTGTCACCTTTACACTCTAAATAAGCTGTTGAAGTGCTGATCGCACTTCAATAGCTTATTGCTGGGCTTCAGGAGCCCAGCACTAACAGCTACGTGACTGGAAGTGATGCAATACGTGTCGCTCCCGGTCCCATAGTACAGGGAGGAGATTGGTGAATGGATGTTCGCCACTCTCCTCCCCAGCTTCCCGCCGACACCCAAGATGCCGGTCCCGGGCCAGTAGGAGGGGCAGCGGATGCCAGGAAACACGGCAGGGACCCAGAGAAGCGATCTAGCGACAGTTCAGTCACCAGAATCGCTTCTATTGTAAAGCTGACAGTCGGCTTTACAATTGTAAACAGAGTCCCGGCGTCTTTAGCCACTGGGAGCCGGCTTAAACGGGCCAAGTGCAGGTGATGTACTATGGACGTCCCTTTTCACTAAGGGGTGTAATGTTGGGGAGCTCACAGAGCACTCGCACAGCTTTTCCATTAACAAAAAGTCTTTATTTCTCTTTCAAAGGAAGTCCAACATAAATAGCTTGTCTCCAGCATATAACATATATGGGCTCACCAATCCTCGAGGTGTCACACACACTCACAATGTCCCAGTCCTGTAACAGTTTTAATAGCTTCTCTTGCAGCACTGCTGCTCCGGCCTCAATCCCCAGGGCCCCTGTCTGTCACCTCCAGACAACCCCAGTAACGTGCTAACCCGCACAATAGGTATCACGAAACCGCAGCACTCTGCTGCACTGGCCTCCACTCTGACTCCTGGGTGGAATTCTCCTGACTCACAGGTGGGGCCCTGAACATGAGCCAGCATTCTTCTCATAAGGGCTGTGCCCAGGTGCACAATCTTACAGTGCTGGTTACCCCTAAAGCCTGGACCCAGGAATGGAGATTTCATCCCTCCCAATGCTCTTTGAAATCTTCCAGTTCCAGGAACCCATGCCAAATCCAGAAAACATGGAAGAACTGCAAAGCCAGCTCTTTCCCAGTAAACGTTTGCACTTTCTGGAACTGCTCAGCCCCCCTGGCTGAGAGACCTTGGTGACTATATTGCCAAAAGACACCCGGGCATTGCCAGGCACTGCCACAAGGGTTAAAATGTCACAAAATTGCATTTTAATATGTTTTCTCGCAAGGTGCTGTTGTTTACTCTAGAGTTTTACTCTACATAAAAATGCAGCATGTTCTATTTATCAGAACACATCAACAAGGTGCATTGGGGTGAACTGAACTCATAGGATATAGGGCAGATTGCCTTAACCATTCATTGGGACTGGGATTGGGTAACACTGCCTAACGCATATGGTACAAATGGGCCCTTACAAGCATTAGGACTGTTTATATCATAGCACAGCAGGGTGAATAAAAATCGATGTTTAAAAAAAAAAAAAAATCGGATTTTTTTTGATTTTTATCAAATTTATTTTAATGAAATGCTTTTGGAGTAAAAATCTATCTACAGATAGTTTTCTATTTAGGATACATTATTCATTTATTTTATTCATCATGAAATGGAGCTTATTTATCTAGCATGAGGCTGTACATTCTGCAATTTACATTTACGATAAACTCATTCAATGAATCCAAGCTCTGCAAGCTGAGATAACATGCACGGCATTGATGCATTCACACAATTTCACAGTAAGTAACCAGGAGATAAATCATAAAACAAAGTTCAGGAATATTCCTTTATCCCATTGTTTTGCAAATCCACTCACCTGCTGCTCGCCACGCCCCTCACCTTTTTGTGTCACTGCCTCATCACCAGCCGTCCCATTAAAGTGAATGGGACTGTCGGTGAGTTAACAGCGGGTCAGAGAAGGAGCGTGTGAGACAGAGATGACAGGTGCTCTTGAAAAATTATGATTTAAATCGAGTTGACTTAAATCAAGCCTTTTTACTAGTGATTTAAATCGACTTATGGACGCTTATGAGCATTGATTGAGGAATCTCCTGCTGTTTCCTTTTTATTCTGAGAGTGGCCACCAATACCCGAACAGAGCTGCCAGCTCATTGGTTGCTAGCTCTGTTCAGCTGACAATTTTCTGACATGATCCTTTGATCAGCTGATCGAGGGTTGCTGGTTGGAAAGGTGCGGAAAGTGGCACCCATGCATCAAATTTAGGCCGCTTCATCTAGAACTGGCCGAAATTCAAAGCGTGTATACCCGGCTTAAGTGTGCCATAATGTGCTAGTATACTGTGCATACTCACATATTATGGTAAGAACCCACCCACCACAGCAGACTTAACTTCCACCTTAAAAGTGAAAAATATTAGAACATTATCTGGGCTTTGTTGTGGAGAGAAGAGCGTTGTGAAGCCCGGTATATGCTTCTGATTGCATCTCAGCATATCCTGTATTGATCTGTTGAGACAGCCTGCAGCTCCTGATCTGTAAACTGTGATGTATGAGGTTGGCAATCTCCGGCTGCATTGATGTGTGAGTTTGTATCTTAAGCTGGCCACAGACCTTACAACTAGGGATGCACAGATACTTTTCGAGTACCAGTGCCGATACTTGGCATTTTCATGAGAACTACCAGGGTTGCAGCGGTTGGAGCTGGGACCTAGCTCTGGCCCTCCACCACTGTCCTGAAATCATTAGTCTGTATTGTTTTAGAAAAACTGTCACATGACAATAAACAGAAATGTATCAGTACTCGTACTTGTAAGTACTCGGCAAGTACCAGTACTCGTACTCGCAAAACTGGTATCTGTGCATCCCTTTATATTTATAAAAACAAAATCATACAATAAAACAGACATGTACAAATCCCAGGAGCTCCGTTTGCGCCTTACAAATGACAGCTGCCTCCTAATTTTTGAATCTTTCTCTCATTTAGTCTTGGAGCTCAAAAGTATCGGTACTTGTACTTGTACCAAGTACTGTACTTGGTATCTGTGCAACCCTACTTACAACCATCGCAAGACTTTTGTCTTGCGATGGTTGTAAGGTAATTAAAAAAAATAAAACTACTTTAAAAAAAAAAAAAGTAATAAAAAAAACGTACGATCTGCCCATCTTGGACAGGCAGATCGTACTTGCGATAATCACAGGCCCGCCCCGCTGAGGGGCAGGCTTCCGATGACCGCAATGCTGAACGAGCAGTGTGCGCTTGCGCACAAGAGGGGACGTGGTGGGCAATTGAAGTGAATGGCCTGCACGGGATCGCAAGGCACATTGTGCCTGCAGTGCGGTCCGGTGCGTTCAAAATGCTGCACTATTTTGATCGCACTGGACCGCGAAAAAGTTAGAAGAAAACCTTAATGTAGCCTGAGCCTACTCAAGTATAGCAGCTCCAGAATACACAGTAAATGTATGCCTTGTTCACACCAAGCGCGTTCCAGGAGCAGAGCAGTTACAGACCGGAGCAAAACTGCGTCCAATGTATTCCAATGGTATTGTTAGCTCCAGTTCACATTGCAGCGTTCCTTTCCAGAGCAGGTAAAAAAAAATGCAGCAGGCCCTATTTGACCTGCTCTGGAGCGCTCTGGAATTCATGCAAACGCATTCAAACGCCCTGGAACGCACTGAAAGCCCGTTTTAAACTAAAAATATATATTTTTTTTAACCAAAAACGGCCCGGAACGCAGCAAAAACGCGGCACAACCCACTGCACTGTGTGTGCAGAAACTCATGCAGTTAAAGCAGTTAAAGAAGGAGCCTCGATTATTTCAAATTGATGACTAAATGCAATGTGAAGAAATTATGCCAAGCAGTTTTGTCCTATATGCTGTCTAATGAGATGAAGTAATCAAAAAACCCGTCTTTAAAGAAGAACGTCGGGCACACATTTTGTTAACCCTTGCAGTGTGGCTACCCCTGCACTGCAATGGTTAAGTGCTTGTTTTTGTCTAGGGTTGAAAGTAACAATGATATACTCACCTGAACCTTAAAGCTGGTTGGCTGTACTCTGGTCCCTCCAGCCTGTCTCCTCCTTCGTTCGAGCAATGGAATGTCGCTCAGCATCCTCATGTCTAATACACTGTATAGGACATAATGACTCACAGGATCTTAGTCTCCTAGAGCAGAGGGGGGAGAGAGGCAGCAGGGACCGATTTAAAGGTGCCCATACACTGTACGCTTCTCGTACGAGAATCGCGGGAAATCCCGCGATCGTACGAGAGTCGTACAGTGTATGGAAGGCGTGCGACCGTTTCTACTGTACGGTCGCACGTCTTTTGTCGAACCAGCATGTTTGAAAACCCGCCGAGAATCGTACGATTGTCGGCGGGTTTCTAGCCTACTCGTTCGATAGCTGCGGAACGGGCCGGTGTGCGCACGCGCACACTGCCCGTTCTGCATTGCGGTCATCGGAAGCCGTCCCCTCAGCTGGGCGGGCTTTCGATGATCGCAAGTACGATCTGCCCGTCCAAGGTGGGCAGATCGTACGAGCTTTCAATAAGCATACGAGTATCGCAAGACAAAAGTCTTGCGATGGTCGTAAGGTGTATTGGCACCTTAACAGCCATTCAGCAGCGAGGTTCAGGTGAGTATATCGATGTAATCGAGCACTTAACCCTAGCAGTGCGGGGGTAGCCCCACTGCTTGGGTTAAGAAAATTTGCACCCTACTTTTTGCAGTTCTACTTTAAAGCTTACCTGAACCCTAACAATGCAGTTTTCTTGTTTGTCCCTTTTTGTTCTGTATATAAATACTATGGCAGGTATTTAGGCATATCTGTATGATGGGTTACAGAAGACTATCTCTTGATCTTACCATATATCTTGTGAGCTAATAACGTCCTGTGCTTTCTGTTTTTGCTGACTGTTATCAGTTACATTGTTCTTAATTAGTGCTGAGGTCTACAGGCAATAGAAGAAGGGTGGGGTTGTGTAGTCCTATCTTGTTTCTGCTGTCCTGACACAGAATGGCGATTGAGAGTTATTCTAGTTATCCTAGGAATGGGAAGTGTGTTACTTGCAAAATCATCTTATGGAAAAAAAGCTTTAGAAAAGAAAACAAATGTAGCCACCACGTCTAAGGAATGATATGCTGCAGTATAAAAATGGTTGTTTTATGTATAAAGACACTTTAAAAGAGTACCTGGCTACTATTGTTGATCTCCTTCCGAAGATGCTAGCTGTCTAGGGCCTGTTCACACTAGTACAGTGCAGTAATCGCACAGTCCTGCACAATTAACGAATTGTACCACACAATCACACCTACTACGCGTTCTTGGTGTGGGAGGTATGTTGCGTTGCCATTCATTTGAATGGTACTACAAACGCACCTCCCCCCCACAGTTCGATTGCCCGCAACGTGCGGTACCGCAATGCCGTGCATCCCATTGCAGTGTGACTTGGGTCGCGACTTAATGACCAAGGACAAACGTGGGTCCTGAGGTTACACAGGTTAAGAACCACTGGTTTAAATGACACTAGCTGTTATTAAATCTGGAAGGCTTAGGACATTATTGTGATGGAAAGTCCAACGCAGCATAGAAAAAGATCTTGGAGCTTAGCTTTATGAACTGTAGGTTGATTCCTATGATGTTGTAGAATATTTTAACTTGAAATACAATGTAACAACACTTTGTAAAAAAACAACCTTTTGGAATGGTGGAACCATCTTTTCTAATGCGATTTGTGTACACACACACATCTAAAACATGAAAGGTATATCCTAAATATCTGTACTGATTTTATTTTCCTTTTTTTTGTCTTGAAGCAAAAGAAAGTGAGGAACTCAAACCCCAGGCGGAAGAATCAGAGGTACATTAATACATTCAAGTACTGCTATTACAATTATGAATGAATGTATTATTGAAATTGTTTCTATTGTGTTAAAGTGACACTAAAGAAATGCATTCAAGTATCAAGTATCTTAACTAGTAACAAAAATATATCTTATTTGTGTATCACTCGCCTGTAGAACCTCAAATCATCTCTGAATTGGTGCTGACACTGTCCTTCCTTCTGGAGGGTGGCTACTTTTGTTCCCCATGGGCTGTGTGTGTTGTAAAGTAGTCACTGCTCCAAGGTCGCTCCCGGGATGGACTACAATCTTAATACAAATCAGTAAACTACACGTGAGTTTGTAGTCCATCATGGGAGCAAGTTTGGAGTGGTGGCTACTTTACAACACACACAGGGACCATTGAGAATAAAAGTAGCCACCCTCCAGAAGGAAGGACAGTGTCAGCATGAATTTAGTGATGATTTGAGGATCTACAGCCGGGTGATACACAAATAAGTTAAATTTTTTTAATACTTGGGATACTTTAATGCATTTTTAAGGTTTAACTCCTGAGCTTAGTGTCACTTTTTAAATTCAAATAATCAAATACTAAACATAACCTGAAAATGTTTCCACGTTATGTAGAAGCGCTACCAATAACATTCAGAGATATAAAAGTACACACCGGAAACCGAAAGGGAGATATATAGGCCTCATTCACATGGGCGTGCACATCTGTACGGCATGCACGTCCGCGCATGCCGTACAGATGACCTGCTCCCGGGTGTATCATGTAATTGACTGCAGCTGCCTGTACATCCCTATGAGAGGACGCGAGTACATGCCGACCCGAATCTGTACATCCGAGACTGTCTGTGTCCAAGTGCGTACACTTGGACCTCTATGGATTTCCAAGCCTGGGTCGGTGTGCAGCTGCGTCCTCTTGTGGGAATGTGCAGGCAGCTGCATGCAGTTACATGGTAGCTCTGGGAGCAGGTCTCTGCCGTGGCGTGCACACCACACGGATGTGCACACTCATGTCAGTGAGGCCTTATTGCCATCCAATCTCTTGCTCTACCCGCCATATTTCATGCGATTCCTAAACAAGAAAGCAATCATTACAAGTAAAACTGGCCATAGGCGACTCAGAGCTTTGCCAAAATGACAACACAAAGGGGAAAGAAGGAGTCACGCTTATAGTAACAAATATCCAGACAGATCTCCCGGGTTTCAAAGATCATATAAAACAAGCAGAGTTCCCCTTAATTAAAGAAATCCCATAATCGGAGCTGTCTATAAGTAAAAAAAACAGGCTATATATTTATATCAAAATTTAATGAAAAAAGTATTTAAGTATAAGAATAATAACAGATATAGAAACACCAAATAACAAAGACATCTAAAATCAATTAAAATGAAACAAGTCCTCCCTGATATGGCCCAAAGTGTCAAATAGTGCTGATAATAATATAATGACCACCAAAGTGGTCGAAGAGTCACGGATTTTTTGACACAAGCGCTGTGTTTGAAGAAAAAATGGATTTAGGAGTATCAAAAAAAGAGATGTACTCACTTATGATGAAATTGCATGATAAGGCAGTTCCTGAGAAGGATAATATCGAGTAGGTAACTAGTTTGTCCACAGAGTTTGCCTCGACGGTCCGTTATTGAATTCCAGAGGATCGCATCCTTATAGTGTTGTATGCACACTTCAGGGGCTGTTGCCGGTCCTCTATACTGGCTTCCGCCCACCAAGTGGTGACAATTGGTGTATTCCGTAATGGAGATGAAAGGCTTTTATTCCACACGTGCGGCCGCACTGGGAAAGGCAGATGAATGGAACTCCAGGGTAGTATATCACTCACTTCCCGGGTCGGGGATCTGTCAGCTTTTCCGTAGCTCGTCTATCCCTCTCGTAGCGGGTCAAAGATCTGCTAGAGTCCACTCAGCAGGGACAAGCAGCGTACACTCAGTATGCAAAACAGGCTGCCGAATCCACTTCTATTGTAATGTAGCTGATTTTATTCGTAGCTGTTATTTTGAAAAGAGCTTCAAACAGCCGGCATTGTCAGCAGAGTAGTTGATGGGCATTCAAGGAGGGCTCGATACACGTTATCCCTAACGCGTTTCTTCCCCGAAAGACACAGGGGCTTCCTCAGAGGGACGTGTACTGTGCATCTTACAAAGGTGAAACATATAGCTAACTAATAAGAGCTTAATCATACTCAGATGTGTGAAACAATCAATGAACCGAAAGCCGGCTCTGTGATTTTCACAGAAAGGAGTTCATTTATGAGGGCAGCCTGTAAAGCCCCATATATTTATTTCAAACCAGTTGTAGTCATCATATTTGATCAATCACAAGATTCAGCCTTGATTAGACAAAATTCCATCAATATTTATGTGTTAATGTGCCAAAGCGGTTTCGAGGCTTTAGACATAGCCCGTCGGTGTGCATCTCCTTGAGTATGTCACACCGGCGGCCCTGCTCGAGAATCGAGGAAAGGGGGAGGAGTCATCTTTTTGCACAAGACATCTCCCGATCCGCAGACATAAGTTTAATCCTAGTTTATCATATAAGGTGCAAGTGTATGGACAAAGGCAAACGTCTTTGAGCCGACCGATGGCATATCCCCGTCGGCAAGCACTTAGACCAAGTCAGCATGCAATATGTAGCTGAACAGATCAACCAGATGTCTCCTGCAAAACAATGTCCGTATGATATCCCATCTAAGACTGCCTCCAGATCGCCCCGGTCACATACACACAAAGGCACAAGAGATAATCTTTTTATTTATATGGATAGCCAGGGCACTCAAAGTATTCACACTACGAGTAATTAATTACAACCAACAAACTGGAATAGAAATACCCACTATACAATTCGGTGAAACACATAATTGCATTAATATATGTGTATGTCCAGGGGTACCATGATTGAGGGGAGGAATGGTTCAGAGGTAACAAACTAGAAAAGGGGGGGGAGAGAGAAAGAGATCGGGCTCACAAGAGACGACTAAAGTTGATCAAAGAAAGACTCATAGAAAACAACTAAAGTTGATCATATCATTCAAGCCTGGCGCTTCATGCGACCCCGTTTGATAGATCCACCTACACTCTCTTTGTAGAAGAAGCTTATCCCAGTCGCCCCCTCTTCTATGTTGGTGAACCCTATCCAGTGCAAAAAAGCGAAGTCCGCTCTGCTCTGGGAGCAGGTCTCTGCCGTGGCGTGCACACCACACGGATGTGCACACTCATGTCAGTGAGGCCTTATTGCCATCCAATCTCTTGCTCTACCCGACATATTTCATGCGATTCCTAAACAAGAAAGCAAAAAAGCAATCATGACAAGTAAAACTGGCCATAGGCGACTCAGAGCTTTGCCAAAATGAGTGGCAAAACGTATTTGAGAGAGATATAGCTTGCAAGGTGGTCAGTATGCCACAGAAACATAATGTGGAGTCCCAACAATACACCATCCACTGAGATGTACTGTACTATGTTTGAACTTCTGCAGTAGGTCATGTGACCGATCCAATAATTGCACTTTTACATTATTATTCAAAAAGTAAGCATAGTGTTTTTACTTTCAAGAATGTGTTCTTTGCATAGATGGATACTATCAATAACCTGGAGATCCACTTCACATGTTTGTCGGGACTGCTGTTACATGGCATAACCAAGACACCCAGGGAGGTGAATGGTGTTCAAACAGCACCCGTTTCAATCCACAACATTAATTACCATCTAGTAGCGTTAACATTATGTGGAATGAATGACACCACAAAAAAGAAAGAACAGACATGTCATATAAAATTCTGTAAAAGAAAGTGTTAATTTGCTACTGTATTGTTGAAAACACTGTGCATGAAAAATTAGCATGATCCCTTTCCACTCAGCGTGGCTGGCATTTTCATTCTACTGTCATGGCCATCGTATCCAGCTGATGATGAGAGGTGTATATTTTTTTCTGTATTGTTATTTTAATTTGACAGGTATTTGCATGTTATGAAATGACAGTCTTGAGCCTGCTATGCTTTTTTTTAACAAACATGTATGTGCTAATAAATGCTATAATCTTTGATTATTTGTAGGAATCAGATTCCAGCGAAGAAAACAGCAGTGCATCAGAAAGTAAGCTATTCATGTGTGGCAGTCAGGGTGACATTTTATGAAAATGTTTTTCTTTAGCAGAAATGCCGGATTAGACATTGCTTTTTGCTTCCTTGCTGATGTTTTTTCTTCTTCTGGATAATATATACTGAATGAGAAAAAGAAATGAAAGGAACATTCCAGACAAAACTGAAAATTAGATCATGTGGTACATACAGGTAGCACAGGCTTACTTGCTCTGTATATAGAAGCAGGGGTTCTCAGATAACTGTCAAAAGGGATTTCATGGACTGGTGCACCAGTCCACGAAATCCCTTTTGACAGTTATCTGAGAACCCCCGCTTATGATGCAGCAAAGCTATTCCCAAACACACCCATTTCAGGCTCCATGCTGTCTCTCACATACAGAAAGCTTTATGCATGAAAACAATTACTGAGAGGTTTCTCACAACCACTAGCCAGATTCTGATCTGCCTTGGAAGTTTGAATGATTGGTTATACAAAAAGGATTAATATAGCGCATAGTTCACTTACATAGAAATAGCAGCCAGTACAGGAGATGCTGGTGAACCCTGACTATTAGCCCTTTAGCTCCTATAGGGAGTGTTATACCTAATTCAGTACCCCTGGGCATGTGAGATTTATAGACACCAGGAGCATGTGCTTTTCATCTGTTCAGCACTGGAAGGAACCTGCCCGCTAGCCTTGTGAAAATAAAATGGCAAACCCCCCCAGTGCCCCCACACGGCTAAGCTCTCTCTCCACCACCCACACATGACAGTGCTGGGGCCAGGCAATTGGTTGCTGAGGCACCTATTGCTTTATTATTGGAGGGAGTCACATGCTCCTCATATCCATTAGCATTGGACAAGTGGAGTGGCAGGTTAGCTGGCTATGAAGTGAACCTGTTGCTTTGCAAGTACTTTAGTACGGTTGAACAGTGCCTTCTACTGCAGTAGTATAGCTTACTCACAAGGCAATCAACAGCATAGTAGCAATTAAAGAGTCAGTATAAAGAATAATTTAAGCACAATTACAAAGAGTTAAAACCTTATCAAAGTTGAAACGTCTTCTTGTCTGTGACCAGGCATACATGACGTGTACACTGTCTTGAACTTTGGTGTAACTAAGTGTAGAGGCCATGTTAGACAGCTTCGGTAGACCACTGGTGGAACAAGACTGAACTAGAAGTGTTGATCAAATTATTTTTCCTATAGTTCTCCTAAGGGTCACAGGAGGACACAAACTAGCATCATCCCGTCACCCTAAGCTCAGTATACCGCGAGCTACAGCTCGAGGTATACTGATACGCCGCAGCCGGGACAGATCCCGACATTACTAACGAGATCCACCCAGCCGCGGGATTGACAGCTGGCTCTGCCTATCTAGAGGCAGAGCCAGCTGTGCCTGCCCCCTCCCCCGCCAGTTCCGCCAGTCAGTGCTGGAGAATGGGCCAGGGGAGGGGGGGAATCCCTGCAGGGAGCCGTGAGTGACAGTGACGGCTCTCTGCAGGACTAGATCGAGAAGTGAGCGAAAGACGGTATGTGTTCTCTCACGTCACGATCTATTGAGCCGACCTGTGACAGTTTCATTGTCACAGGTTGGCTAGAACTATGAGGCTGAGTGATTTTAACTCCTCTCATAGTTCTCCTTTAACACCGAACTAGAAATAGGTTGTAGTCATGGTATGTTTGATTCTGCTTTTGCATGTTATGATTTTAAAAAGCTTCTGGGAAAAATGAATTGAAGATTTTCCTAATAATTTTATTAAAGTGACACTAAACTTAAAAATGCATTCAAGTACCTTAACTATTGACAAAAATGTGTCTTATTTGTGTATCAATCAGCTATAGATCCTCAAATCATCTCTGAATTGGTGCTGACACTGTCCTTCCTTCTGGAGGGTGGCTACTTTTGTTCCCCATGGTCCCTGTGTGTGTTGTAAAGTAGTCACTGCTCCAAGCTCCCTCCTGTGGTGGACTGCAATCACACGGTTAGCTTACTAATGATTGTAGTCTATCACAGGAGTGAGCTTGGAGTGGTGGCTGCTTTACAACACACACATGTACCATGGGGAACAAAAATACCTCCTGAGTTCCGTGTCACTTTAAAGTGAAAACCGCTTTAGTAAGGACACTTTTATTGACCCCTCCAATCAGTCATTATTTTTTTTACATACCTGAATTGTACCATATCTGTGGTTTCTGATTGGAATAAGTTACTGTTTTGTTTCAGTGGATTTTCTGCGTGATCTTTTTTCCCGGACGCTGGGCATTGGTACTCCGGAAAAAGTCCTTGATGAACTAACCCTTGAAGGAGTAAGCAAATTCATGCTTAGCGACAAATGTAAGTTGCATAACAAGGTTTTTGGCATTCTACTTTTGACACATTTTAGAAACTTTATTATATGTATGTGTGGTAGGATATTTCACAACTTACCTACTCCTGCTGTAAAGAACTCCTTCCTATAGTGTTGCTAAATGCCTTTGTCTTCCATGCACAATGGAGAACATTCGGACCCCAGTTGCAATTCACCAAATTACAAAATGTGTATAAGCAAATGTATGAGGTTGGGCTCACACATTACATTTTCCTTTAAAAGAACCAAAACTTTGAGGGCCTCCTAAATAACCCATTTTTGTGTGTATCTAATCAGATAGGCCCTTGCAGTTCAAAGTACAATAAACTCCCCATTATCCAGCATTCACAGGGATTAATATATTCCAGATAAATGTAGTTTCTGGTTGCTGGAGAGTTACTATTAAAAATAGGTTTAACTAATGCTATACGACATGGCTTCTGGGTTTCAGTGTCCTAGTCGCCTATGCCATAGATGGATACATTTGTTGTGTAGATTATGAGTGGCTGTCTTGACTTGTTCCTCTGCAGTGATGAGTCTGTAAAGGTGTTCATCCAATTTTTCTTTTGCGAGGATTTGCTTATTGTTTTGGATTATACATTCATCACCTCAGAATTGAACTGTGCGGCCATTATTAGCAAGGGTTTTCACTGATAGAATGCTTTCTTCTAGGTCCGGAACGTACAGTACATTTTTTACGAGGAGGCTCTGCTTGTCCCCTGACGGCATGATGCAGTTCAGGAATCCTTGACCGTTGCCTTCTGCAGTAATACTTTTTCCATTTGCTAGAAAGACTTTGTCCTTTGCACTGAAATCAATTTCTGTGAAAAAGGTCTCATCACTGGTCATGTGACTTGTTGTGCCTGAGTCAATACACCATCCACATGGTATACTGTTCTGAATCACTTAAAAGGGAGTACTCCATGATGTGCCTGCAGTTTCCTTTGGGACTGCCTTAACTCTTTCTCTTGTAGGTGCCTCTCGCCTTCGCTGCTCAGCTTTTCAGACTGTACAGTCCTTTTTCAGATGACCAGTCTTTTTAAAGCGATAACACACTCGGTTTTCTTTGTTTTGCTTTGCGCTCTCATGCACCTTAAGGGCTTTCTAATTTTCTTCCTTGTGCATATTTTCTTTCCTTCTGTCATATTCATCATTAGATTTTCCTTTGGCGTATTCTAGTGTTAGTTCCTGCTCAGGTCTGCTTTCTAGAGCATTAATAAGAGCACCATCTGAAACATGCGCCTCTTCTAGCTTCATTTTATATAGCTTGCATAGCAGATATAGTTTACTGTTTAGGACTTGTTTTGTAATGCAGTCCACATACCTTTTAGTTGTATTATCTTTTCTTATGTGGATGTGCTGGTCATCTTCCCCTAGCAGACTTATAATTGCTTTTGCTTGCCTTTTCTTCTTATCCCATTCCTCCATGGGCATTACTGGGTCTGTCTGTACTCAGTACTTGCCACAAGTCGTCTTTGCCTAGCAGCATTTCACGCTTGAACTTCCATAGCTGCTATTGTTAAGCTGTGCAATTTCAAACTTCATATCTGAACTACTTACCATCTTTCAGTAGCTTGGATGTGGCCCTTGTTGACTTGCAATGTTCTGTTTAGCGTCTTGGCCCATAACATGTTGGTTATGTGTTTAGATGAAGCACTGAGATCTTGAAGAATGCTGAATTAAGTTTTATTTGCTTAGAAGAACATTATATCAGAATACAGCATTATACAGCATACAGAGAGAACTTCCTGTATATCATAGTTAAGCATGCACACAAAGAAAAGCATAGACTATCATTGCACTACAGCGCCATCTACAGCTCAAAAGACATTTTACATCTCAATATGCTGTTGCATTTCCAAGACTTATCTCTGCATGAAATCTATTGTGTAGGGGAAGCAGTTCAGGCTTAGTTGCACCAATAAGACATGGCACACAAAATGTCCGCCCAAGAGTTCCATAGAGGAGTTCAGATGTTAGGTCCAGGACAAGATACAGCACTAGTCCCACTGGCAATTTAAATCCTTAATCCAGGCCAGGGTCTGTAGTCGGTGGGGAGGAGGCTGGCCTTCAGTCCCCTCGAAGGGCCCAGGGCACTTCTGTGATATTCTCCTTCCTGTGATATTCTCCTTCTGTGATATTCTGTGATATTCTCCTTCCTGCAGCAGGGTCTGGGCCAGCATGTCGCAATAGGCACTATTAAGAGTCAGGTTTTTGCTATTTCTATTCTGTTCCAGAGGCTGCTGGCCTCTCACTCTTTGATCAAGATCTTGGTACAGGGGGTCTCCCATGTAGCTCTTCCCGTCTGTTCCCATGTGACTTCATTGGATCTGAATCTGGTTCGCTCTGTGCTTCAAAAACTGCCATTTTACCCCATTACAGACATTCCTTTCTGTACTCTTACCCACCAGCTGGTGTTCTTTGTAATGATAACTTCTGTGTGACAAGCGTCTGAACTGACGGCCTTATCTTGCAAGTAACTCTTTCTTATTTTTCATAGGGACAAGGTGGTATTAAGTCCTAGGATTATTTTCTGGCCAAAGGTAGTTTCTGTCTTTCACTTCAACTAGGATATTGTTTTTCTCTCCCCGTGTCTAGCTCCAGTTTACCAAAAGGATATTTCCCTTCATTCTCTGGACGTCGTTCATGCTGTATGAATCTTTGCCCAGCCACTGCTTCTTTCGGGAAGACTGATTCCCTTTTTGTCATCTCGAATAGACCCTGTACGGGTACATTAGCTACTGAGCTTATGAACTACAGGATCAGGTTCCACTCTCTTCCTGTGAAAGTGAAATCTTATAGATCTGTGAGTGCTTCTTGGGCTTTTTGGCATCGAGCAACTGTTTTCCAAATTTTCAAGGCAGCCACCTGGCCATCTGACATTAGGTCATTCAGGAAGCTCCTGAAGCTGCAGGCAGTCCCAACTTCTTCTGTTTTTTTTGGGACATCCCAAAGGTTATAGACGTCCTGTGTCTCCTAATGAATACAATAGCATTTTTGGTACTCACTGTTAAACCCTTTTGTTGAGAAACATAGATCCCACCCCTCTGTGTTTATGATCATGTTCCTGGTACTGCTTTGCTACAAATTTGAGGAATGCTCTTAGTAGCAGGAGTTATCCTGGGCTGGTCTACAGGGTTTTTTTTTGGTTTTGTTTTGTCCAATTCTCCTGTAGGTGGCAGTATAACCCAAAGGTGAAAGACTTCCAGTGTCCCTCAAAGGATTTCAAGAAAATTATTTTACAGTGAGTACAAAAACCCTATTTTATTGCGGAATAGATATATCACGTCTCTTCTGCAAAAAAAGACCCTTTGTTTGTTATGTAGAGTTCCACTTTAAAGAATACATTTGTACGATGTGATTGTTGTAACTGTAAATTAAGAAATTAACAGCACTTTTGAAGCAGCATTTATTAAAAATCATTACCACTGTTGATAACAAGGCGCTGAGTGTTAGGTGCGCCTATGGAAAGAAATATAGATGCAAATATTCATTATATTTACATTTTAATTACAATCGAGTTTTTCTTCAGATTTTCAGCCAATTGTGTTCATACATTGAAACTAAAATCACACCTCATATGCTGGGTACAGTAAGAGTTGTAAATACAGTTTTGAAATGATATCCTTTTAGAGAAATGTTTAAATGATCTGCTAACTTTAACCCACTCTTTTCTATTGTAGGCAAGAATGTTGTGTTTATGGCTGGAGCAGGCATCTCAACTTGTAAGCTATTAGATTAGTTTCCTTTGTTCTTTTTTTCATATGACGTTGACATGATTTACCCTGAACCTTAAAGCTGCAGTTTAATCTGCTACAACTGTCCTCCCTCATCAACATTCTGACATTTTTAAGTAGACTATTTCTGTTTACTTTACATACCTTTTTAGAACTAGTGTTCTCATCACTGGGTCTCTGTGCTTCTCTTTTCAATGCATGGCTAGTGGGAGGATCCTGCTGTAAATAGCTTAAATGTTATGCAAATATCACAATGCCTTGATGAGTCGATATCAGTGTAGAGGAATTGGCATTCCTAGACAGACTAAATTTGCATGCAAGCCACACACACATGTGATGGTGAGTCTTAATCATTGAAAGAACTAAAGGGGGAGGTGAAACTACAAGTCCAATGAGGCATTGCAAGACTTTGACAGCCACTGGAATGATTGTAATGTGTATAATTTTGGTCACACACACACAGACACACACACAATTTAGTTGCCATCCACTCACTGTCGTGAGAAAGATATCATTGTGTTCTTTAAACCAATCATAGATTCCTAATGTGAGTGAAAGGGAGCAACTAGGATAAAAATGGGTAGGCCAGAGACATTGGTAGGACTTCAATGGAACAGAGGACAACTAAAAGCCACACTTCGAGAGAGAGAGAAAGAAAGCTTAATCGCCACAAAGTCTTGTTTAGTAAGGAATTTATAGACAGCAACAACCAAAGCTAAGTCACTTTTAGGGTATACTCTTATAGAAACCATTACATGTGATAGAAAAGGGTATAGTATATGCATGTGTATGTATGTATTGTAGCAATTTGTATTGGGTTTTTTTAGAGATGCACCGAAACAAAAAATTTAAATCGAAACCGTAAATAAAAATACATTTCAGGCCGAAACCAAAAATATTTTTTTTTCAAACCTTTTTACATTTTTGAAAATGTTACATTTTATTTCTTTTTTCTATGTAGTATCCGAGGGGGGGGAGGGGATGGTGTTTAAAACATGAGTGCCACACCCCTAATTATAATAGAAGAAGAGAGTGTTTGGAAAGATGGGGTTTTTAAGGCACTCCAAATGATGATTCAAAAATGGTCTTTTTATATAAAATGTATAAAGTTTATTGGATGCATGATTAAAAGAAAAAAAGGAGAATTGAAACAAGAGCAGTAATGAGCACAGGCACTTCTAATATCCACCGCTGTCCTAGGTATTAGTTGATTGACATCAAGTTAACATGATTAGTTTAAACAGTAAATGCATAGATACAGTTCATTAGTGGGTCTCAACTCCCACACTGTGGTTGACACACCTCAACTGATGGGGCGACTGATGTGAAGTAATACAGTGGGGTTCCTAAATAATATGAAATTAAGCAGGGTTCAACTGGATGAACTTATTAGTATATTTGTGTACTATAGATTCAGCATGTCATCCACTGCAACTAGACACGATTTGGTATAACATGATTAATTGACCCTTGCCCTGATTATTAAATTGTCGCCCTATGATCAGTTGATATGTGTCGACCATTCACATCTTGTTCTATCTATAGTACACAAATATACTAATAAGTTCATCCAGTTGAACCCTGCTTAATTTCATATTATTTAGGAACCCAAGACACTCAATCTCTTTTTCTGCAGCCCCTGTTAAAAATGAACATGAATCCTCTATACTGAGTGTTCTTGTTCATTTATAACTTATGGAGATATTATGTATGCATGAATGAACCGGAAGTGATGTAAATCAATTTCCATTCATTCATAATTGGGGACACAGTAAACATACAATGTCCTCAATTATTTACAAACAGCGATTACTGATCGCTGAGGCAAAAAGGACATAAACAGCGCTCTCGGATGGGGGAGGCTAACTGACAAACATGTGTGCAGCCCTGGAAACAGGAGGAGAACCTGTGGATGCAGTTTGACAAAGGAACACAGAGGGCGCAACAGCAAACACAAAAATAGAAATAAAAATAAAGCACTGGCTAGTTGGACTGTAATGTGTATAACAAGCAGGGGATCAGATGTGGGTGGATGGAGGTGCATTGGGTAGAGAAGAGCGACGCGTTTCGAGGTATTCAAATCTTTCGCAAGCTCGCGAAAAGCTTGCGAGCTTGAGAAAGAGGTGAATACCTCGAAACGTGTCGCTCTTCTCTACCCAATGCACCTCCATCCACCCAGAGTATCCCCACCTCCTCACTGATCCGACTACCCTGTGCCCACAGCTGACCTGGCCAAAACCGAGCACCGACATCCACAACTGCGGTCACAGCAGCCCGTGCTACACTCGATATTGGTCTGTCCCTCCTGGTTCTCCTCCACACTGCCCGAAGTCCACATCCTCTCAGCGGCATCACGGACAGAGCCAACCCCCTCCGCTCATATCATTCCCTTCCGATGGATGAACCTCCCCAGGCAATATACTAATCAGATCCAGACAGACACCACGAGGGTCCCGATCCTCCTTACAGGCCGTCCATCTTCCAGTCCCTGGATCCACATGTAAGTGATATTGCATTGATTCTTCACCAGTGATTCTTGACTATCACATCTGATCCCCTGTTTGTTATACACATTACAGTCCGACTAGCCAGTGCTTTATTTTAATTTGTATTTCAATTTTTGTGTTTGCTGTTGCGCCCTCTGTGTTCCTTTGTCAGATTACTGATCGCTGACTGCTTGTACCCGCTCTCCATCCTGACTTGCTGTCATAAGAGGCTGAGCCGGCGGGGTGGGTAGGAGAGAGCTCAGTCTCCTGTGACAGCTGACTCCCCCAACACACAAACACGCCGCCAGCTCAGCCTCTCGTGACAGCTGTCTCCTCCGCCGCACTCCATCCTGACTTGTCAAATCCGAGCGGGGCGGTGCGTGTGCCCGGCCTCTTGTGACATGCCGGCCGCTCTAGCGCTCTCCCCCGTATTGCTCAGCCACTCTGACAGTTTCTCTCATGAACATGGCAGATTATGTGATGTAAATGCAATGGTGGGAGCTTAGCGCCTCGCTGTCTTTCTTTCAGTCTTCTTTGTAACTTGCTCTTCTTAAAGTTTCAATAAAAATATACCGTTATAAAATGTATAGATTGTGAAGTTGCTCAATAATTGTTTATTGATCGTCTAAAGCTGCAGGAATCCCTGACTTTCGTTCACCAGGCAGTGGACTATATTCAAACCTTCAAAAGTACAACTTGCCATATCCAGAAGCCATATTTGAAATTGGATTCTTTAAGGTAAGGCTGTGTTGTATATGAAATTTGCATCAATAATCACACATGTTGCAAATTCAAATTGGCAAAATAATGACATCTATTTTGTTGCATGCATGTAACTTACTAAATTCTCTATTCCTCAGTTATATTAGAAAGGACAAAATATAATAATAGTGTAATAGAATCCACTAATACATTTTGGATGAAAGATATTTTGATGATAATGGAGAACTTTTAAATGTCTTTCCTTTGAATACCTATAGTTGTTATGTGACAATGGAATAATATAGCAGATAAGCTGGTTTGGTTACAGGTACGTTCCCATTCCACTTTTCCAAAAGTACACTTGCGTATAGTAATTGTAATGGTGAAGGTTAGAGCTGGTAAATGGGCAAGGTTACAGTGTCTCTTTAATGCATGGTGGAAGTCATATACATGTAGGTTGTGAAAGCCCTCAATAGCTGTCTATTGATCTTCTGAAGCTGCAGGAGTCCCTGACATGCAGGGGAAATTGACAGTGTGTCTGGAAAGGGCATCCCTCAACCTCATATACTCACCTTGCAGTTTCTTGTCCCTTTGTAGCTGATGAGACTACCCAGCACCTCTGGGTATGAGGGAGTATGTGACCTGCTCCCCTGTCACAGAACCCAGGCCAAGCAACCAATCTTTAGACCCAAACACTGTCACATGACTGTAGGAGTGACATTACCATTCGCTGACAAAGCCAATTTAAGTGCTGGCAGTGGAGGAGCAAGGAGCCGTGAGGAAATGAGGGTAAGGTGAGGTCAGGAGGAGGGGTCAGGGGATGCAGGAGCAATGTGATAGTGCCCTTTTAATATATGGCAGAAATGCTTAAAGCTGAACAACCGGTAGGCACAAATGAATGCATCTCTTTATGCAGTAATGCATCTTTTAATGTACTTCCTAAATGCAAGCAGTGTAAGTACATGAAGTTGACTTTGAACTTAGAGTTCCCTGTGCAGCAAAGCTCAGGCTGGAAGAGGAAGAAGCAGCACAAGGAGCCTGTCAGTTTTACCGCAGTGCTCATGTGTTGACAAGGCGCATGCTGATAGGAGAGAACAGAGAGAAAAGCTCATCAGTTTTCTGCTTCTCTGTTCACTGTACAGTCACAGGCTTAAAATGAGTAAATTTCAGTATAGCACATATTCGCAACATTCATTTGTGGGTGTTTCTTGAGCCTGCTCCCCACTTCTTCACCCACATCTTAGTACAGCAACCATTGTTGCTTTTAATTATACTGCAGGGACAAAGAAAGGAAAAAGTAATCTAGACTTGATGTGCACCAAAAAATGGGTAATTAGCCCTAGTAAGTAGAGTGTACACACAGTTATACTCTGTACAATCTCAGCTGAATAAAAAATACATTATTATTATTATGACTGGGTTTCCACTTGGTGTTCCAGCTTCTTCCTATAATTCAAAAACATGCTGGTAGGTTAATTGGATTCCTTGCAAATCTACTCCAGTGGACATACAAGTTGGTTAGAGATATTAGATTGTAAGGCATTTTGGGGAACAAGGGCTTTGAAGCAATGCCACTGCTCCAAGCCAACTATTTCCATACCCACTATTTCCATGCCCATGGAGATCCAGGTGTTAAGCAATGCTCCACAACTTAGCAGAAAAGCAGGGAGTCGAAAATCAATGACTTCAGTATTATCCAGCTCTATTGAACACAGGTATGGCGCACTACAACCCCACCTAGGACAGACCCTCTCATATGCTTTTAGCTTAATGCAGGCTTCATCACAGAGATGGGGATGCACACAAGTCAGTGTGTGACTCCATGTTGTCTTGCTGGTTGGGGAACAAGGACTGGTGTATATGGATCCAAGTATTCTGTATCGCGCTGCATAATATGTTACTATAAAAATAGTGCAAAGTAAATAAATCTCTAAATTAAGAAATTCTTCTTTTATAGCAAAATCCAGAACCATTTTTTGCTCTGGCTCGAGAACTGTATCCTGGTCAGTTCAAGGTAAGTTCAATGATATTAGTTTCATATTTTATGACACTGAAACAACAATATTTTATGACACTGAAAAGTTGATTTTATGACACTAAAAAGGAGAATTACGGGCAGAGTAAAAAACACTCATCCCCATAATTCAAGCCAACCTGTGACACTGAAGCTATCACATGTTGGCTCTATTGATTGGAAAGTCAGCGAACACCGCTGATCACTGACTTCCCGATCGTCTCCCTGTAAAGAGTGGTAACTGTCAGTCACCTATCCCCACAGGGATTCCCTTCTCCCCTCTCCAATCCTCCACCGCTGACTGTAGGAACAGACGGGGGAGGGGGCGGGTAAAGCTGGCTCTGCTTCTAGAGAGGCAGAGCCAGCTGTCAATCAGCCAGCTGGGTGGATCTCGACAGTATTGGCAGGATTTATCCCGGCTGTGGACTGGCTATATGCTAAGTTTTGGATCGCCGGAGGACACAGTATATGTCCTCCTGTGGCCCTGAAGATAACTATAGCCCCATAATTCTCCTTTTAAAAAAATTGTATCTAGGAGAAACATGGCAGATGCTAACAATACTTACCCTTAAGCTATCACCTGAACCATTGGGATTATTCATACCAGCCTTAATTATGAATGGCTCTAGTTCATTACCAACTGGAAACAGTGGTACATAAAAGACCATGCCTAGTTATTCGTTCTTCATCTCTATAGCATGCTTTTTATTTTAGCAGCAAATAATATTGTCATTTCTTTTTTATTCAGCCAACTATTTGCCATTATTTTATGCGTCTGATGAAAGAAAAAGGATTGTTACTGCGGTGCTACACCCAGGTATTACTGTTTGCATCCCTATGATTAACACAGTACGGAAATAATGACATATAGACGTACATTATGTAATCTAATTGCATACATAAGGTAAAGGCATAAACAATATAAATTGGAATGTTAATATAATGCAAAGTTGCACCATTCAGTATTGTTTTTTTGTCATCATCTTCATTGTGGAAAATTTTCTATATTGTGTTTGCTTCTTAGAACATAGATACACTTGAGCGGGTAGCCGGCCTCTCGTCTGATGACTTGGTAGAGGCTCATGGAACTTTCTACACCTCTCACTGTGTTGGAACATTTTGTGGAGAGGAGTATTCTCTTTCTTGGATGAAAGGTATCACACAGCTTATCGTCAGTGAACAGATTTTTTATTTTTTTATTACTTGCATAATAACATAATAAAATCAGACAGGTTTCTTTTGAATGTGCATTTTTTCACCAGGCTGTAGAGAACAGCACATTTACAGGTCTATTCCCTCATATGACTAGACCTTTTTTCATATTTGTTGGGATCAAAGTAACTGAATCATTTTGATATAAAAAGCTTAATGGTGATTTTAACATATATCTTTTTATGATTGTTTTTTTTGTTTTTATCCTTTTAGAAAAGATTTTCTCTGATCTGATCCCTAAGTGTGAAAAGTGTAACAATTTGGTCAAGCCAGGTAAGTTGTAAGACATGGTAGTCTATATGTAGAGGAAAACACATTTATGATGCAGTTATAACAGTTGTTTAAATACATACAATTCCATACCATGGATCTATGATTATCCAGCATGCTAAAATATCTCTACCAAGTCTTAAATCCTAAAGAGACCGTATACTCAAAAGTGATATTTTAGTTTTTGGGGGCTGGGTTCCTCTCTGGCTTTTCGGTCCAACAAAGAGATCTCACATTAGCTCCTGTCAGGACCCAGAGCACCCCCAGGTGGCGCCGGAGCCAGGTCTGGCATCTTGTTAGAGGAGAATGAGAGCCCGCCATAGTAGCCACAATAAGGGTGCAGTTTTAAGAAGACAAGTACAGAGATCTTACTAATAAAATCCCTGAGTAATATAAGAAATTGTTCGGTGGTTTACCACTTACCAGAATGTTTGTTCTGGATGAACTGGCCCTTTAGGCTGTGTTCCCTTTAAAGAATAACTGTACATAGAGAAAATTGCCCATTCATTCCTAAGGATAAGGTGCTTATCACTGAAATGGTCAACAGACGGCCTCTCCATTGGAATGGATGGAGATTTTCTGCTCATGCACAGAAGAAGCTACCCCACCAGAAGGCTTAGCAGTAGTGGCTGTTTGGCTTTCAGCAGGCTGCGCAGTGAAGATCTGGCAGGAGCGAGGACAGATGAGTATACGTTTTGGTGGGCGCTGCGCGGGGGGAGGTCAAATAAACATTAAATGTACCAAAAGTACAGCTATTATATATTCCTACATACATGTACTATTTACTACAGACATTCAATACATGATGTTTGCTCTTTCATTTGCCAACTTTAAAATAGTTACTTTTTACTTTAACTTAACAGGATAAGTTCACTACTTCATGTCATTTCTTTTTTTCAGACATTGTATTTTTTGGGGAAAGCCTTCCATCCCGCTTTTTTTCTGCTTTGAAATCTGTAAGTAGATAGTGCTCTGTACATATGCTGTAACATGCACATATTTAAACTGTATTCTAATTTATTTATTTTTTCACAGATTGCTAAACCATTTCTTTATATGTATCTTACATATTTCTGTGCTCTTTATTAAAATAAGGTTACATTTTAAAATGAGAATTATATAAAATCAGTAAATAGAACCAGGTTAAACATTTACTGACTTTGCTTGCAACAAAGGACAACTAATGTAGGATTTTGACACCTTGGGGTTGATTTACTAACCTTATAAACACGCCACGAACAAGTATACACCTCTGTAGTGTGTTCCCTCACAGCATGATCTATTGGTGGAATCTAGACACCTTTGTAGTGTGTACACACTCAGCAGGTGTGTTGTGCAAAGCCCTGCATGAATTGCAAGGTGATGTTGTGTAAATTAGCTCTATGTTATGTTGCTTGCGTTGATGAATGCAGGAATGTAAATGCATGAGCTAACCATTTTTGTCTAAACTGTGAAGCAGCATTATATATGCATCATGTGCATGATTTTTCCATATATGGCATTAGTGGAAATATGCTTATAGAGACTTTTTGGTTGATAAATACGTTTTGCTGTGTAAAAATCACAGGCACCTAGTGCGTGCGTGTGTTTAGGTTAGTAAATCATCCCCCTTGTGTTTATGCTCAGTGCTCCATGGCTAATATACAGCTGAATGGGGAAGGCTTATTATGGCAGCTTGATATTGCATTGAAGTTACTTATGTGGCCAGATCTGATACAAATTGTTCATCACAAAGTTCTTTATAGACTAACTCCAGCATACTGGTATGCTGAATCATATGCTGTCTTCTTATGTCTCTAAAGGATTCTAGTGGTGAGATATTCCAACCATAAAACAAAACTATGGTATCCAACTATTGCTATGGATTGTCTATATGCATAAAAAAGTAGGGGAGGCTAGCCAAAAGAGAGTGAAATCTTTAATATGACCTTGAGTGAAAGGGGTAGAGTCACAAACTGCTGCAGTCATTTTTGTCATTGGAGTCCTAAGAGATATAAGAAGCTGGCAAGTAATCGAGTTCCCCACTTTTAGATGGATCAGAATTGGAAGTGAATGCCATGACATAAACAGTTTTTTCTAGTTTTAGATAGAGTGGGGAAGGATTAGAACTCTTGTTGGGGTTTTACTGCTGTCTTGGGCTCCATTAGAGACCTCTCCTCTGACGTTCTGTCCTGGTGACAACGGTTTCAACAGACAGATAGTGAGAGAAAATCTGCAACAGGGACACAGAAACAAAAAGGCCAGGGGTTCCAACCTTCCATTACTCTGCTAAAAAAAAGCCTTGTTATTTCTCTCTTTGCTGTTGTTGGAGAGTTCGACTCACTTCCTGTCTAGTAAAGGGTTGCCAACCGGACAGGAAGTGAGGGAATATCTCTAATGGAACCCCAGGGTAGCAGTAAAAACCCAACAGGATTTAAAATCTTACCCCACTCTATCCAAAACCAAGGAAAAGGGTTTTTGACTTCATATACACTTTAATTAGTACAAAGGAGAATTTCTACACTACAGTGCTGCAGGAACATATAGAGAACAAAATAATCTATAGCTGCGTGCACAATTGATCAGAAATTGGTTTCCATTCTCTAAGCTGCTCTCCAAAACAACATCTGGAATCTGACTGATTGCAAGGGTCCAAACTCTCGTTTGTTTCACTTCTTCAGTTCTGTCACAGACAATAGTGAGAAGATAATACAGTACTGTGAAAAAGTTGTAGGCAGGTGTGGAAAAAATGCTGTAACGTAAGAATGCTTTCAGAAATAAGTTAATTGTTTATTTTTATCAATGAACAAAATGGAAAGTAAATGAAAGAAGATAGCAGAAGATAATTCCAAATCAAATCAATATTTGGTGTGATCACCCTTTGCCTTCAAAACAGCATCAATTCTTCTAGGTACACTTGCACACCATTTTTGAAGGAACTCGGCAGGTAGGTTGTTCCAAACATCTTGGAGAACTAACCACAGATCTTCTGTGGATGTAGGCTGCCTCAAATCCTTCTGTCTCTTCATGTAATCCCAGACAGACTGGATGATGTTGAGATCAGGGCTCTGTGGGGGCCAAACCATCACTTCCAGGATTTTTTTTTGTCCATTATGCATATGGCATGATGTATTTATACTCATAATCCAACCAAAAATGAATGCAGTTTTGTCAAGCAAAAAAAGAAAGTACACACAAAACTACAATCCGATTTTTTTAGATTAGGTGCCAATGATTAGAAACTGTTGATGGAACCAGCATTATTTTAGCCCAATAAATGTAGGATCTGGGGTTCTTTTTGCTATTGAAGTGTGTGCATGCCAAGACCAAAAAACCTCTCCAAGAAGGTTGTGGATGAGCCCGGCAAGGGATTTTAAAAGATCGCTAAACTATTTGAAACAAATCACTTCACTGTACAATGTACAAGTGGCATAGATTTCACTGACTGCTTTTTTGTATTGACTCTTTCACACAACTGTATACCTTTCTGTATGAGTCTATGCTAACACAAGGATTCCCTGTTTCCTTAGGATTTCCCCAAGATTGATCTCCTTATTGTAATGGGAACATCACTACAAGTTCAGCCATTTGCTTCTCTTGTTGGCAAGTAAGTATTGCTAAGTTCTTGTGTCCTGGTTCCGCATATTAGTTATGCTATTATATTGTTTTGTATGTGTGTGTGATTTTTGTTTTAAAGGCTCAGTCAGGTTTACATAGTTGCTTGCAAATGGACTCAAAGGTTGGCTTCTTATAACCTTTAGAAAATCAGTTAGTGTGGTGTCTATCAGGTCTTCCCAGTTGCCAATGTTTTAATGTGGTGTAGTGCTCCTTAAATGGGTTCTCTATAACGTAGTTTTGGGGAATTTGGCCCGCAGAGTGTTTTGTGGGAAAGTTCCGATAAATATAGGAAGCCACCTGTTCATACAACTCACCAGTGTCTACCCACAACTGAAATGTCTATTTTTGGGTAAAGCTGCCCTTTAATTTTGAAAATTTCTTGGTTTGCCTTTCATATTTATTTAGTAACTGTAATAAACACTTAGCTCTTCTTTTGCTGTCCTGACCTATTAACAATATACGTCAAGTATTCGACAATATTCCTGAGTCTCTACAGTTGTTAATAGTCATTGTTTCTATCTCCTGTTGCTAGGATCACTGGTTTACTATGCTTAACCCTGCAGATTATGGAATGTTAGTATATTCATGAAATTTTGCCCTGGCTGTTGTATAAGAGGAGTGCAGAGACTTTTCTTGCACCATGGTATTGAACGTGCTAGCTAGAAGACTATGCACTCACTTGCCTAGGATTCTTGTAGTATATGATAGTTATTCCCAGCTTATAGCAAAGCATAGGGAGATGTTGGAATTCCAACATTTGCTTACATACCATAATTATATTTCTAGCCATAGACAATCTTAAGGTGCACATAGATATGAGAAAGTGGTGTTTTATACCTTAGGTTCTGACAGGATTGATAAACAATCTTTCTGTCTGCGAGGCACAATTTACTAGCAAAATCTTCAGTTTACCAACACTGTAGACTGTTGGACAGGCTGCATTTTTTCTGCCAATAGTCCAGTATATTGAATACCTTTTGCAGTGATAAGACCATCTTGTAAGTGTGTACCTATCACATATACATAGATAGAGACAATAGTTTTTTACAGGATTTGGTATACCTGAGTATCTTTTAAATCCATTAGTTCTATAGGCTGAGTAAACAAATAGCTCTCTAGTCTCTTTATAAATAACCTCTTGGACTAAGGTAAGGAACCCAGCATATCATTTTAGGGTAATTCTGGGAACATGTAGGAGGATTGATTGGTTGGAATGCTCTGGAATATATGGTTTCAGTACTTCCATGAACTGCTTAGATATGTCAGTGCCTTTAAAGTCAGCAGACCTGTCTGTTCTTTATTGTATTGGGAGCTTCTAGAATGTTGAGGACATTGATGTTGTCAGGGTATTTCTATATAAAATTACAAAAACTGATGAACTATGACTTGTACAGAAACTAAATCAAACTTTTCTGGGCAACAGGCCAGAAGTCTGTGCTGGACAGATAAATGAATCAACCAAAATAGCCTATTGTGTACAAATTAAGCAATACACAAACAATACAGGAGAAACCCTTTGTACAACCAAACTGATTCAAAGAGGTAAAACATTGCAAATGAAGTCTAAGGATTAGATAATCATAAAACCACAATTGACAATACTGAGAGAAACGTAACTTCAAGGTCAATAATTACAAGTGTTTAATCAAGAAATACAAAGGCTAGGGATATCACAACTACAAATGAAAAATTAACAAAAAACCCTTACAAACTCCAAGACAGTTAATCCACCCGATTGTTCCAAGAATTAGATTACCTATGATTATTGTCTGAGGTTGAGTAAGTTATCATACACATCCAAGGCTTACTCAACTGAATGGCAACGATATGAGTGAAATAACCAATCAACTACCATTTCTGAACCGATCAATTGAAAGAAAGTAAATAGTGGTTGGGGAGTCGCCAATACGAAGAATGCTTTCAAACCATATAAAATACCAAGAGAAAAGAAGAAATAGAGGAAGAAAAGAGGAGGAAAGGAGAGGAAAAAGAGCTCTGAAGAAAACTTCCTGGATGTAACATAAGGACTGTCACTCATTGACCATCGCTAAGACTTAACCCTTGCTGCCTAAAACGAGCCATCATCTCATCCAATAAGACTCTGAACATTTTTCTTTTGAAGGATTGGTGAGATACTGATTATATATGAAGAATTAACTTTTTTTACTCCAAAATCATAGCGGTTACATTTTATTATTAGTGTTTTTGTTTACAATTCTAATTAACAGTGTGCAGGGTGAATTCTTTTGATAATTTTTCATATCTTTCTCTATTTTATTCCTGAGATGGTATTGTGTATGGTTAAATTGGGTACAGATTTGTATGTAACTAGTTTGCTACTATAGGTATACTAGCCTGTTCGCTTGTTATCCCCATTAGACTAGTAAACCTATTATCTTCTGAAATCGTTAGGATCACAAGGGAACTTTTACTTTTGACATAAGTCTCTTTCTTTCCTATGGCCACGGGAAGTAAGAAACAATCTTAAAGGTGTCTAGGTATTTTAATACACATATATATATATATATGGCCGTCAGGTTCTGGAGATATATGGTGATTGAACAAAAGTGTGAGTATTGCATGTTTTTTTTTTTCATCAAGATGGCTTGATGCTTGGAGAAAACCAAAAGATTCCTTTAACTCACAATGTTTGTTGCCAGCAATGAAACAGGTATTCATGAGCAGCCACCTCATCTGACCTATTGATTGCTTTGCATTGTCCTTTATTGGCCAAAGAACATGAGGCCATTTTACGTGACCAGTCCTGATTGTGATAGCACAATTCCTTCATTATCTTCCCATGTGTAGGATATTAACCAAACACAAATTCAGAAGTAATTTAATAAACACAAGGAATAAGTCAAATGCTTTAAGTAGTGTTTAGAAGGTCTTCTCTCAAACACCAGATGTAAACATGGCAGAATTTTTATGAGAACTTCTGGATAGCAGAGTGTAAAGCTGACCATACACTTTACAACCATTGCAAGACATTTTCGTCTTGTGATGGTTGTAAGCTAATAAAAGCTTGTATGATCTGCCCATCTTGGACAGGCAGATCGTACTTGTGATCATCGCAAGCCCGCCCCGCTGGGGGGAGGGCTTCCGATGACTGCAATGCTAAGCGTGCAGTGTGCGCTTGCGCACACCGGCCTGTGCGGCATTTGTCTTACGAGCAGGCCACAAACCTGCCAAAAATCTTACGATTTTCGGCTGGTTTTCAAACATGCTCGTAAGACAAAAGACGTGCGACCGTACAGTAGAAACGGTCGCACGCCTTCCATACACCTGCCGATTAACCTACGATCGCGGGATTTCCCGCCATTATCGTACGATAATCGGCAGGTGTATGGCCACCTTAAGAGGCTTTTACCTTTTCCATCTCTCGAATAACTGGAGATGTTTTTTTTTGAAGAATGGTTGGAAATCCCACTACACACAGTTTAGGATCTGTAAGACAACAAGTCCAAAAAGGGCTCACACTGTTTTGAATGCATACTGTGGCCCTACTACTTGTTAGGACCTTCAAATATCATTAAATGATTCTGTCCCTCTCCCGTGTATATATATATAGGCATAGGGTTGCTGCTGTCTTTATGCAGTAGCATATATAACAATTGGCAAGGTTTGGCAGAGTTTTTTTCTAGGTATATATAAGCACAAGTAATATATTCTATGTTATCTTTCTCCAGAGTGCCTAGTAAGACACCGCGTCTTTTAATCAACAAAGAAAAAACTGGTCAGGTATTATCACAATAAATGTAATCGGTGTTTTAATAATAATGATAATAATGTGAGTTTTACTGATTGTGTTACTGAATCTGTTTTAAAACGTTACAGGGAGACTCATTTTTTGGACTGCTCGGTTTAGGAGGCGGAATGGACTTTGATTCAGACAAAGCTTACAGGTAATTTACTTACTCTTTATTTTACTCCCTTTTGGTCTGTTAAATATTGTAACATTGTAAATGTTTTGTTATATCTGTTCAATACGTTCAAAGAAATACCTGTTGATCCTACCAGAAATCCAGTGCTGTTCTGTGTTCAGTACACTCTGCAATGTTATCTCAAGCAGTGTTATCAGCCCTGCCCCCTATATTATGGAGATAAGGAAAGGGAGGGGGGTGTTGTCTTAACACACATCCTGTCTTAGTGTGACAATCCTGCTCCTCCATAAGTACAGTTTAGTGAGTGAGCAGATTCACTTTAGGACAGGAAGTGCATTGCTCCCAGATCCAGCAGGTAAATATAAAGGGGCAAAAAAAGAAACGTAATATAGCTGCTGCATCTAAGGACTTGAATGCTTCAGAAAGACTGTTGTTGGGTTTAGCTACACTTTGGTAATGCTGACTTTATGTGCCCTTAAACAAATTATTTATCAACCTAATCTTTATCCTGTTGACCTTTGTATACGGATAATAAGCTGACTATGAGGATTTTGTGAACACAATGTTTCAATAATAATAACATTTTCTATTTAGGGATGTAGCCTGGCTTGGAGACTGTGATGATGGTTGTCTTGCCTTAGCTGAATTCTTAGGATGGAAGGTATGTAAACAGTATCTAACTGGGAACGTTCCAGGACAGATCTGAGAAACCTTGCTCTTTAGGTTGTATTTTTTTTAATACACTGTGTATACATGATATATAAAATGGTTTTGGCTGTTAGATTTGGTACGTAATACAACTCGGTTTTGTATATTTGATATCAAATGTTGCCCATAGTTGTAATAGTTTCAATGATCCTACAGATTGGCATGCAGCAAACTATTAAAATGGAACTTCAGGTTTATATAGTACCTATAGGCTGCTTCAATAGTACTTTCTATAATTTAGATTGACACTAAACTTGTTAAATCTTAAAAATACATGAAAGTACCGTAAAGGAGAACTATGGGTTTAGGGCTTTCCCCCATAGTTCTCCAAAGAGTAACGGGAGGACACAAACTAGCGTCCTCCCGTTACCCAAAGCTCAGTATACCGCGAGCAGCAGCAGGCGGTATACTGAGACGCTGCAGCTGAAACGGATCCCGACAATTATGTCTGGATCCGCCCAGTTGCGTGAGTGACAGCTGGCTCTGCCTTTCTAGAGGCAGAGCCAGCTGTACCCGCCTCCTCCCCGTCCATTCCACCACTCAGCGCTGGAGGATCGGAGCGGGGAGGGGAGAATCCAGTCACTCCCCTGTCACAGCTCTCTGCAGTGACAGAATCGAGAAGTGAGCGAGCGCCGGTATGTGTTCGCTCACTTCCCGATCTACTGAACCGACCTGTGACAGTTTCATTGTCACAGGTCGGCTCAGATTATGAGGCTGAGTGAAAAGCACTCACCTCATAGTTCTCCTTTAACTATTAACAATACTGTACTTTGTGTATCACTCCGCTGTCGATCCTCAAATCTTCTCTGAATTCACGCTGACATTGTCCTTCCTTCTGGAGGGTGGCTACTTTTGTTCCCCATGGTACCTGTGTGTGTTGTAAAGTTGCCCCCGCTCCAAGCTTGCTCCTGTGATGGACTACAATCTCAATACAAATTAGTAAACTAAATGTGAGATTGTAGTCTATCACAGGAGTAAGTTTGGAGGAAGGACAGTGTCAGCACCAATTCAGAGATGATTTGAGGATCTACAGCCGAGTGATACACAAATAAGATACATGTTTGTTAATGGTTAGGGCACTGGAATGCTTTTTTAAGATTTAACTCCTGAGTTTATTGTCACTTTAAGTTTAATATTTTTTTTGTTTACCACTGGTAGAGGGACAGGCTCAACTATTATTGGTAGCAGTAAACCATACATGAGGCAAGGACACCCATGGAACAGTCCAAGATGGTTTGTCCTGCACTTCTTTTCAGGGCAGGACAAACAGAAAACCTTTGTACAACAAGTCCATAGCATAAACCAAATTAAACATCTGCTTGTCCAAGCTACTAACTAAACTCAAATCAGTTCCTGCCTAACAGGGTGCCCTCAATGGGTTTCCCAAAACGAACAGTTTCCCAAAACAAACACCAACACCTTAAATTTGAGTGTTCTATCAGCATTCAGCTCTTTCTTCCAGCATCAGCCAGCTTGCCTGTGAACAGCTGAGACTTGGCAACTAGGAACGAAGGCTTTATCCCACCTGACGCTCTACAAAGACTCCAGGACCCAGACCAGAACTGATTAATATTCTGAAACAAAAATTTTGTTGTACTAGTCATTGAATTGTTAAAAGTTCCTGATACCACCGTGCATTCCTTGTTTTTCATCCTGGAATTCCTCCCCAATATCTTGAAGTACAGTGGGGAGAATCTACTAAATCTGAAGCAGTTGTGCATAATAACCAATCAGCTTCTATCTTCAGCTTTAAAAATGAAAGGTAGTTGGTGATTGGTAGCCATGCAGAGCTGCTCCAAATTTTGTCTGCTACAGTCTTAGTACATTTATTTCCTTTTTTATTCTTTCTCTTCCTCTCAACTCTTGTTTACGACTAGACGGGACAGCCACAGTAATATACACGGATATCCAAAGCACGGTTCCATGATCTGACATAGTATAGTCCCAAGGATCAAGGGTTGTGCCTATAGTTTATGTTGTGTGGCATATAAAAGTTATTGTTCCATGTTTTTAAGTGATATGAATTGTTTAGCTAACCTCGGACCCATGCAAAATTAGTTCCCATTCTCAGTCACATTTATGACCCTTCACAGGCTGAACTGGAAGAAATGGTGAAGAAAGAACATGCAGCTATTGACGCAGCATCTAAGAAAACAGACAGCACCCCAGGAAAGCTGGAAACAAAAGAATCGCCTGAGAAAAATCAAGAGGAAAAACCATCAGAATAGAACATTTCAAAAGTCATTGTGATTTTTTTTCTTTTCACTTTCATCCGTGCACCCTTAACAGGTGCCATTCTCTAAATTAAATATACTTTATGGCACTTTATGTACAGGTATTAAAATGATGATGTCAGAATTCAGGTTGATGGGTAACTGAATTTAGATCAGTGCTATCTGCACTATAATATATCGCTTCGATATATCAATTTGATTGTTTAAGGGAAGAGCCTTCATAGTAGGCCCATTGCCACTGCTGTTTCATCATCAGTTTGTGATCCAGGACATATAAGTCATCAGCAGCAGCTGTTGCAGGGTTTGTTTATCAATGATTACAGTAGGTTGTGATAGTTCTAAGTGAGATAAGAATCATTTTACATACAACACCCTCTCTTAATGATGCTGCATTATGACCAATTATTTAGCATTATTTTATGCTCTTTTTATATACTGTAAAACAGACACAAATAAACGCAGATAAATAGTAATGCTATCAAAATGATTTCCAGTTACTGATCTGGGCACAGCCGGATTTACTCTCTCTGGTGCCCCAAGGCCAGGTTCCTCAATGCGCCCCCCCCACCTGGCAACACTCCCCCCATGGAGAATGGCAGACCTGCAGGTTGCATACAAATGATCTTGGCGACATCACCGAGATCACTTGTACAAAGCAAGCGGCGGCTTCTCCACTGTACACTTAGCTCTGCTTGCCCAAAGCAGGGCTAAATGTAGAAAACAACTACCCGCCTGGCGCCCAGGACTGCATGTCCCAGGCATCGGGAGATAGGAATTCCACACCCCTACTGCCCCTCTACTCCCTGCTGCCCCAAGTTCGTGCCTTGGTTGGCCTTGTGTGAAATCTGGATCTGGGCCAACTTCCCTAATTTTACAGTCAATGGGGGAATTTATCAAAACTGGAGCAGACATAATCTGGACCAGCTATCCATAGTAATGAATCAGCTGCTATCTTCATTTTTTCCATTTAAGCTTTCCAAAAGTAAAGACAAAAGCTGATTGGTTTCCATGGGCAACTGTTCCAGATTCTGCCTGCTCCTGTTTTGATAAAGTCACTGCAATATCTGTACGTGTGCAGTTAGTTCACTAAAGTAAATTAAGCTACAGCTTTGAGAAATGACCTGGGGCTCCATTTAAAAAAGTAGCAATATGGCCTTGCTGTGGCCAAAGCCTGCAAAGTGCTATTAAAATGAATGAGGAAAACATTCTCAGAGGAGAGCCCAGTTATGTGACCAGCTCCCCTCCAGTCACCTCTTTAATAGTTGAGTAGTTGTGCCAGTATACTCAAGAAGAGATGGACAGCAATTTAATTTTGACAGGCAAAAGAAAAGTAACATAATCCAACAAACTCAATTTGTCTTTTATGTAGCTTTTTCTTTAATGAGATCCCAAGCAGGAATTGTCAGTCTTTGTACTCTGGAGCATGAGATTGCTCCCTTAGCGGGTGCTTCTCTGGGCTTGACGGTGGGAAGCTGGGAGGGGTCTTTTACAGTTTAGTGATAAGGATTCTTTTAATTAATTACTGTACTTTTGCATAGGTGCAATTGTCAATATGAAAGTAATACACAGGCTTAAATATATATATATTATATACTATATTGCCAAAAGTATTGGGACACCCCTCCACATCATTAGATTCAGGTGTTCCAATCACCTCCATGGCCACAGGTGTATAAAATCAAGCACCTAGGCATGCAGACGCTTCTACAAACATTTGTGAAAGAATGGGTCGCTCTCAGGAGCTCAGTGAATTCAAGCGTGGTACCGTGATAGGTTGTCACCTGTGCAATAAGTCCATCCGTGAAATTTCCTTGCTACTAAATATTCCACGGTCAACTGTTAGTTGTATTATTACAAAGTGGAAGCAACTGGAAACAACAGCAACTCAGCCATCAAGTGGTAGGCCACGTAAAATGACAGAGCGGGGTCAGCGCATGCTGAAGTGTACAGTGTGCAGAAGTTGCCAACTGTCTGCAGAGTCAATAGCTACAGACCTCCAAACTTCATGTGGCCTTCAGATTGGCACAACAACAGTGCGTAGAGAGCTTCATGGAATAGGTTTCCATGGCCCAGCAGCTGCATCCAAGCCTTACATCACCAAGTGCAATGCAAAGCGTCGGATGCAGGGGTGTAAAGCACGCCGCCACTGGACTGTAGAGAAGTGGAGACGGGTTCTCTGGAGTGACAAATCACGCTTCTCTGTCTGGCAATCCGATGGACGTGTCTGGGTATGGCGGTTGCCAGGAGAACGGTACTTGCCTGACTGCATTGTGCCAAGTGTAAATTTTGGTGGAGGGGGGATTATGGTGTGGGGTTTTTCAGGGGTTGGGCTTGGCTCCTTAGTTCCAGTGAAGGGAACTCTTAATGCATCAGCAGACCAAGACATTTTAGACAATTTCATGCTCCCAACTTTGTGTGAACAGTTTGGGGATGGCTCCTTCCTGTTCCAACATGACTGCGCACCAGTGTACAAAGCAAGGTCCATAAAGACATGGATGAGCGAGTTTGGGGTGGAGGAACTTGACTGGCCTGCACAGAGTCCTGACCTCAACCTGATAGAACACCTCTGGGATGAATTAGAGCGGAGACTGCGAGCCAGGCCTTCTCCTCCAACATCAGTACCTGACCTCACAAATGTGCTCCTGGAAGAATATTGAAACATTCCCATAGACACACTCCTAAATCTTGTGGACAGCCTTCCCAGAAGAGTTGAAGCTGTTATAGCTGCACAGGGTGGGCCAACTCAATATGGAACCCTACGGACTAAGACTGGGATGCCATTAAAGTTCATGTCCGTGTAAAGGCAGGCATCCCAATACTTTTGGCAATAAAGTGTATATAGATTACATATATAGCAAGAATAGATAGGTTCACATATATACCAAGAATGGACAGACTTGCATGTATACCAAGAATGGAGAGGCTTACATGTGTACCAAGAATGGACAGGCTTACATGTATACCAAGAATGGACAGGCTTACATGTATACCAAGAATGGACAGGTTTACATGTATACCAAGAATGGACAGACTTGCATGTATACCAAGAATGGACAGGCTTACGTGTATACCAAGAACGGACAGGCTTACGTGTATACCAAGAATGGACAGGCTTGCTTTTCTTGTGCTGAATTCCACCCTCCCTGCTCTGGCTTCCCCCGTGTGTGTGGTGCTCTTTCTCCCTCCCCTCCTCTTTCTTCTTCCTCCCTCTTTTCCCTTTCCGTAGTTCCTTCTCTCCTTTTTCTTCTCTAATTTCTTCTCTTTCCTCTTCTTTACAAAAAATGTGCAAAACTTTCAGGGTGTCACTCTATGGGCGACTGCTAACATGTCTATGGCGGTCATGATCACTCGCTCATTGTTTCTCTGTGACGGGTGTCATTGTTTTTGCTGTTCCATACTCGTGTTTACCCTTTCATGTTATGCCTTTCTGCGGGTTACCTCAGTTAGTCATTGCTGATTATATTCTCGTTTGTATTTTCTCGCATGACTCTGTTGCTATATGTGTTTGGAATTGTATTATGTGTTGCCTTGAGGCACCTTGTGTATAAATAATGAATTAAAACAAAACAAAAAGAATGGACAGGCTGACATGTATACCAAGGATGGACATGCTTACGCGTATACCAAGATTGGGCATGCTTATGTGTATTCAAAGATTGCACATGCTTACGTGTATTCCAAGAATGGACAGGCTTACGTGTATACCAATAATGGATACCAAGAAATGTACAAACCAGTGTCTTTTAAGCTCTTCTAAAATGGGAAGTGTGGGCTGGATTTCTCAAAATTGACAACAAACTATCTCTACTGCCCATTGTGTCCAGTCATATTTTATTTGTCATTTTCCAGCATGTGCAGATATTTGATGAACCATCCCACCCATGTTTCAGCTATTGTACCCCTAAACTCACTACTGCTTTAATGTACACTTGCAGTGAGTATATTTCCTATGGGAGATATGATCCTGGGGCCTTGTCTACATGGCTTATTTTATTCTCATGCTAGGGTTGCCACCAGTTTTCACCCGGACAGTCCGGTTTTGGTGTGTTGTGTTTGGGTGCCCGGCCAGCGGGCACCCGGACACAAGACACTCAGTGCCGACACAGGCACTTTACATTTTCAGACAGGTGTGGCTGCTGAGGTCCTTGTCAAGCGCGATCTCGAGCAGCCGCACCGCTCGGATCTTCCCCTGACCTGCGGGCAGCCTGCTCCCGCAGCTCAGGGGAAGATTCGGGTTTCAGGCAGATGTGGCTGCCCGAGATCACGCTTGACTAGGACCTCAACAGCCGCATCTGTGATTGCTCCTCCTCTCTTCTAGCTCTAGTTATCTATCACATAGAGAAGAACAAGGAGACGTTCTTTTCTATGTGATAGATCACCAGAGCTAGAAGAGCGGTCGGGCTATGTCGATCCCTATGCAGCTGAAAGGAAAAGGCATAAAGAGGCGGGGTTACAGAAATAGCCGAGCGGCAGGGGGATTGAAGATTTATAGGAGAACGTAATTCGACACAACACCAGGTCGCTGACACTGTGCTACCTGCCTGTGGACCCCCTGGAGAGACACCATAGCTCAGACTGCACTGAGAGTCGCACAGCCCACCCGAGAGTCGTACAGCTGGCACAAACCACCGGGCCACCTGAAGACATCAGGGCGCCAACCCAGAACAGCACAGAGTATGTAGCTTCACATTATTTTGTATTGCTGTATAATGTATTGCCGGGAATTTGTAGTTCGCTATAGCTGGTCTCCTTACTCTCTCCCCTAGCTGCCTCTCCTCACTCCCTCCTCTGTATTCCCCAAAAAATAATTGCTGCGCACGGCTCTAGAGTGTTTGGGTTTCACTTGAAGAAAAGGTGGCATCCCTACCTCATGCTGCTGAACAATGTGCCGCCTTGTTGGCATTTTCTGTATTTGCAGGACTTTGATTTCATTGCATTGCTGTTTGCAATGACTCGTAATTGTTTTTGTTGCATGTTAACCCCTAAATAGACTGATTATTGAAAGTTGCCCTTAGTTCAGTTACATCAAGCAATGAAAAGAAGATGTGTATGGCTAGCTTAGCTCTGCCTGAGTTTTCCTCCCCCCAACAACATTTCTTGGGATTTCAGCACAGCATTTTCAGCATTGT